CATTAGATTTATGCATTTCTATTGACAAATTGTAAAATGAGTCATTTTAAAATCATATTTATCCTTTTTTGTAAAAATTGCAAATTTATTTACATTCAATTTATGCTTTTTTACCAAGTAATTAATTAATTGTAAAATCTGTCATATTTACATCAGATTTATTCTGTTTTATTAATGAATGGTAAAATCAGTTATATTTGCATCAGATTTAAACTTTTTTAGAAATTGTAAAGCCAGTCATTTTTACATCATTTTTTTCTTTTTTTTAATGATACATTGTTAGTTAAATCAGTTATGTTTACCTCATATTGATGTTATTTTATGGGGAAACTGTAAAGTCTGTCATATTTACATCAGATTCATGCATTTTTAATAGCAGATTGTAAAGTTAGTTAATATTTACATCAGATTCATGCTTTTTTATTCAGGAATATTAAAAATCAGTTATATTTACATCAGATTTTCATGGCGTATCAAATGTAAACAAATGACGTCACACATTATGAAATGGACAAAGTCCAACAATTATCTTAAGACATTTTTCTGTTTATACATTCTTTTTAAAGATACAAATATTTAAGTAAATGCTCTGTTTATAATAAACAGTATTAAACAAAACTTACCGGCCTGAATGTCCGAGAAATTTTCACAGAAAATATTCGTCCTCCGACAGGATTCGAACCTGAAGGGGGCACAAACCTTTGATATAAATTCAATTTAAATAAGGGAATGACTCTTAGGGTACCTGGATAAGTATATTTCATTTTGATCAAAGGGGGTTCCCACACTGAAATTTTTTTGCCCTTTGATTTAAATTAAATGTCACCATATTTATTACAACGTTTTGGCTTCAGGTGGTTGGAATGTCGAACTGAACCTTTTATTTCACTCACTGGGGTAGACTGTTCTAGTTCCACATGCCATGTTTTAATGGATGCCAGTTATCAGTTATCTCCTGTTAATTTTTCACTGCTTTAACAGGGTATTGAACTCACACTCTTTGGGTCCTGTCACTGGATCTAACTAACACCTTTATCCACTGTGCCATGTGTCCTTGTGTATGAATTTCTGGGTATTATAAACCTAAGGTATTCAGCAACCATTTTTACCAGTGCTCATATTGCAAATTTTGCTGTTATGATTGCATGTTTTTACCAGAGGTCATATTGTAATTTTTGTTATTATTATCGCTTTTCTCTGGCACTCCTTATTACTGGTTCCCATATTGTATTCATTTCTATGCTTGGTCGGCTCAGGAGATTTTTGTGGCCTAGCATATGTATTGGTTACTTAAGTTTACAAATTTTCCAATGGTGTTCTTTGTCTATGATCTCAACCTGATCCCACAGAGGGTTGTGATCTCCCTTCTCTCTCCATATGTGGTCAGCCACACCTGATTTTTCTACTTCCCCTCATGTTAAAGCTTTCTGGTGTTCTTGAAGCCTTACCTTAAGGGGGCGGTCTGTCTCCCCTTTATATTTCTTTCCGCAGCTGCACGGGATAGCGTACACACAGTCTTTAGTCATGTTCTCCTCTATGGGGGTCTTACTCAGGAGAGATATCTGTGAAGTGTTGTTAAGCTTTTGAAGGTTTTCCTGATCTTATATGGACCACAGAGAAAATACAAAGGATCTTTTTCATAAAAAATACAAAATTATGGCACAAGGCCAAAGGGCAAATAGGGAGAGGCTGGTTTTCATTAGCTATCCTAGTCCTAGTTAATCAGAATCATGACCCATTCATTCATTACAATTTGCTCATTCACTACAAGAACTCATCCATCACTACTCAATCCCGCATATACCATTATACCGCAAGGGACCTACAAAACTTCCCATGATGTAAAAATTTCATTGTGGCTGTAAATAATTATCGCAGAGTATTTATAGTGCGGGAAAGTGTCCCCTAGTAGCACTTTAGAAAATTAGGAGGATGTAACCCAAGTTGATTTTCCTATTTCTTAATCAAAAACAATAAAGATTAATTAGATATAACATATTTTTCTATTTCTCAATAAAAAAGCAAAAATCTACAGTAGAAGTAACTGTTTTACCAATTTATCGATAAAAAGGCATAATACTGAAGTACAGTTGATTTTCTACCAAATCCTATGTTGGACATAATCCATCCGTATGTGACAATACTGCCAACATCTGTATAGAATGTTAATTTTAGTGCCCTATATAAGGAGGGCTGGAGTAAAACCGGAGCCCTCCCAGAATACAATTTTCTGGCCAGGGAGATTTTGGTTGGGGCCAACACAATATACTGTTCACAGTCACATTTAGCAAGAAAAATAAAACTTGTGAAAGAAAAATTAAAACAGTAAGTCAAAACAAAAATTAAACAAGAATAAAACAAAATGTGCAAAAATAAAGTTTTGCCTACAAAATTAATGAAAAATTGGAACATATCTACTACTATTGAAGAAAAAAATTGTAAATAAATTTTCAGAGCATAGAGTTGAAGTACACTTTAGAAGGAACTGTAAACAGGAAACAATGGTTAAATGTCTACTCTTGTTTAAAAGACTAGGAAGAAGTGTGAACCAGACAAGAGGTGAACCTATCTACTGTATTACTTATATTATATATCTAGGGTTAATACGAGGGTTAATTAATACTAATATTTTATGTCTAAGGTTAGAGTTAGTGTTAGCTATTAGATATAATTCAAACCTAGGGTTATAACTAGTGTTAACTATTAGGCATAATTCAAACCTACATGTGGTGATGTGCAAATTAGATTGTATATAAGTAGGAAGCTTTCTACACTCAGGAGGTAGTTAACTTTTCTTGACTACACTGTGTACTTGTGAGAACTTTACACAACACAACACTAGGGTTATAACTAGGGTTTGCCATTAGGTATAATTCAAACCTTGGGTTATATTTTAAATCCAGTGTAAGAGCAAGTGTTAGTTATTTGGTATATTTCAAAACTTCAATATTTCTTGACTCTTAACACTTACATCTTTTGCATTGGCAAGGTCAGATCTCTCGACTCTTATAGCTCATGTCCTCAGCATCGGCAAAGTCAGATTCGGGACTTCTCCTAACTATTAATGCTTGTACCCTCTGCATCAGTGATGTAATGAATATGCATACACCTGTGTTCCCCCTCACAGTAATATGATTGGCTGGTGTCAGCCATAAATACAGACTGATGTGCAGGTACAGGGAGATGCCTAGTGACTACTCCTATTGTCTTCACCTATTGCCTACCACTACAACGAGACCAGTCCATTACGATTACATGCTAGATTGTTACAGTGGTCCAAAACCACTTTGCTACTTCGAACAAATATATCCTTTTCCAGGACATATCAATCGGTAATGTCAGATTTGTGACTTCTCCTGAATCTTAACGCTTGTATCCTCTGCATCGTCAAAGTCAAATTCATGACTTCTCAACACTTTGATATAACCAAAACCAACATGTATATACAATATCTGTACAACACAGTGTTTATACTAACAATAAATGTTCTTCAAATCCCAATCCTCATTATTCCTTTCTTTCACAACCAAATGCTTAGTATAACATGTTGTTAGAGTTTGGGTTAGCTATTACTAAAGCTATGGTTAACTACTTGGTATATTTCAAAACTTGGTAAGAGCTAGTGTTAGCTATTTGGTATATTTCAAGACTAGTGTTATTAGCTCAGGTATAATTCAAATCTAATGTCAAAGCTAGAACTAGGGTTAGCTATTACATGTAATTCAAACTTAGGGTTAGAGCTATGATAAACTATTAGATATATTTCAAAACCTATTTTTATAGTTAGGGTTTGCTGTTTGGTATATTTTAAAACCAAGGTTAAACCAAGGGCAATCTATTAGGTATAATTCAAAACTAGGTTTAAATCTATATTTAGCTACTAGGTAAATTTCAAACCTAGGGTTTGAGCGTGAGTTCGCTATTTGATATATTTCAAAACTAAGGTTAAAGTTAGGTTTAACTATTAGGTATGTTTCATACCAATTTTAAAGTAAGCATTAGCTATTAGGTATATTTCAAACTTAGAGCTAAGATTATACTATTAGGTATATTTTAAAACCTATTATTATAGCTAGGGTTAGATTTTTGTTGTATTTCAAAACAAGGTTTAGAACTAGGACTAACTATTATGTATAATTCAAAACTAGGGTTAAAACTATGGTTACCTACTAGGTATATTTCAAACCTAGTGTTAAAGCAAATATGAACTTTTTGGGATACTTCAAAACTAGTGTTAAAATTAGTGTTATCTATTATTTATATTATATTTATATTATATATCTAGAGCTAGGGTTAGGCATAATTCAAACCTTGGGTTAGAGCTAAGGTTTGTATATTTCAAATTAGAGTTAGGGTTAATTATTGCTTATATTATATATCTACGATTAGCTATTTGGTAGATATCAAAAGTAGAGTTAGACTTAGGTTTAGTTATTATGTCTAAGATTAGACTTAGAGCTAAGGTTATATTTAAGATTAGAGAAAGTGTTGTTTTTTTAAAACACGTCCCTCAAAGAAAGTGCAATAAACAAACCTAGTCTACTGTATTATTTTTTTAATTTAACCATTATTTTTATATAATTTAACATTTCCTTTTTTATTATATATATTTTTTTTACCCCGGCTTGTGAAAAAATAACCCTCCCCTCCTTGGCTCTGGTTAAAAAAGGAGCCTGCTCCTTTCAGGAAAGATCTGTGCAATCATGCTACCCAATAACTACTAATTCACTTATTAAAATTTTAAAAATTCATCTCATTCGTTATGAAAATATATCTGTCAAAACGTAACTAACAAGCTATGACTCATTTTCAACTAACTGCATCATTTATTTGGGATCCATCCTCTTCTTGGTTCAGAGATCGTGTTATCGGTTCGTGTGAATGCCTGTATCATCGTTGTCAAGGACTGCAGCATGCAAATACAATCAAATATAAATGGAGTCCACGCTTGTATTCAGATCTTCAGTACAACTTTAATTGAATTTTATCGCTGATTTAACATGGAAATTGGGAACGAAATTAGTCATAAGATTCGTGTAAGTTATTTGTTGTTTTTTTTTTGTCAGTTCATTCCGATCTCGAATTATTATCGTTAATGTTTCAGCATCAAAAGTTTTTTTTGTTTTAAATGTTTGAAAACATGAGGAAGGTTGTCAATGTCTACTCAGGTTAATAAAAAACATCAGTTTCTAAGCAAATATTTATTTATGATCAGTTTTAAAAATTGAAGCTTAAAATCTTTTTTATCACTTATATTATTACTTTTTTTACAATAATTTTGATCTGAAAAAAGTTACCACATGTTTGTTTAAAAAGTTAAGCTATATTTCAGAATGAGAACCGATTGATTTAAAACAAACTTTTTAAGAATTGTGCAATTCGTCGTTAACAGGAATAGTGAAATTGATCATTAAAAAACTTTCCTTTCGTCCTAAGTTTTAAACATATTGTGCTACCCTATAAAAAATCTCCCCAATTTCCATGATTGGATAAAGAAAAATTAGAATTTGATATCCTTATTAAAATTAAATAATAAAAAGAGACAAATATCTAGAAATTGCTTTTTAAGAAGGATTTGATTTGTTTTTTATTGAGTGACTATCTGAAGTGAAGGAGAATTAATACCAACTGAATTAAAAATCAAAATATTTTTAATTCAAATTGAACTTATCTTAAAAAATGAACTTAGTGAAATAAATGTAGGTTTTTTTTTTTTTAAAGCTTTTTAATGTAAAATCTGAATATTTTGTATTCAAAATTTACGTACAAGTATCTTGCTAGTTTTGATTGATTTTTTTTATCCCATGTCCCTTTTCTTTATTATCTGTGAACTATCATGACTCCTCAGGGAAAATAGACAAGGGTTTTTAAAAACTATTCTGAATTTATTTTAAGTACCATAGCGAAGGCAACTGGAAACTACTTTTTTAGTAAACTCTAGCTAGAGAATCCAGTATATCCTGCTATTTGACTGAAGAGATGAATTCCTGAGTTTTTACTTTTTAGCAAGAGCGTTTGTGCGAAAGTGAACGCAACAGTCTAATCCGGAATTTGAACTCGGTTCGCCCAATCTATTATCCGCACCAATGTTCTTACACTGAATTTAATCAGTAAAATAGTTCTTGCGTCACTGTTTTTTTTTTTTTTATGGCTATATACATGTCTCCATCATCGTCATCATCATCCTTGTGCGTGCATGATGGACAGCTCTTGGTCTTGGAAATTAAATCCATATGTGTAGAAAAAAGTCTTGAACACACATGGATACCGTTCCTAAGTAACTAGTTAATTTCAAATCAAATACGTACTTATTACTTAAAGAAAGCATAAATATGTTTTTTTTTATGACGATATTAATAACGTTTTCATCTTGCTAAAAATCTTTTTTTCTTTTTTAAATGTTCTTGTTAGAATGGAAGGCGGAATTAATTATTTCAAGTTCAACTAAAAACAAAACTTGTAACAATCACTGGAAAAATTGTTTTGTTTACTTTAAACTAATATTGTTCAACATTCGATAAAATTGTTTTGTTTGATGGAAAGACCGGTAATTTAGTCTAAAAACCAGTGATAAAAGAAATCGATGATGAAATAACAAAAAAGTAAAACCTTTACGTCATTAAAATAGTTTCATATAGATTTTTTTTTAAGTAAAAAGAGGAAGAGATTTCTCTGCACAGCAATAAAATAAATATTATTATACAGATAAGAAGAGTAATTTAGAATTTAATTTCGGTGACAATAAATACATGTAAATAAGTTGCCCAGTTACTTCCCTTGATCTTTTAAATAGTACGTGAGTTTTAACAATTTATGCTTGTTACTAAAATCTCGAATCGATTTATGTTAAATAACAACTTTGTTAGCAAGAGAAAAAGATTAATTATGAATCACGTGAACCATAGTAAAATCAGATCAAATATGATGAAAATAAATTCATTAAGGCTAAGATGTGGGGCTATAACACTTTTTTAACAATGTTTGGAAATGTTCGTGATGACTGGGTATTATTTTCTCGTAATGTAACTAACAAATGAAAAGAATTCGGGAAAGTAAATAAGGTATTTTCTCAAGAAAATAATGTCATTGAAATCTGTTCTCTTACTTCAGCATTACAAGACAATAGGTAAAAAAGTGTGTACTTTTATACAAATTCCTGTTGTACTGTAACAAAAAAACAAAACTATTTAAATTTAATAATTCTAATGAATGGATTATGATTTATCTCTTTTCTGACTAATCTTTAATCATTCACAATGCAAAAATATACATATTGCTTTTATTTACTGAATTGTACGTATATAAATATATTCTATTTCATATTTTTATCAATTTTCAAAAACTGTCAGAAATTCATGCTTCAAAATTGTACATAGAGTATCAATTTTTTAAAATTACTTTTTAAATTTATAAGTAGAAAGATTTTAAGTAGCACTCCCCACCATTTCTTTGATTTCATGAAGTGACTTCTTCACAAATTTGTTGCAAAGCAAAACAAAGTGAACAATATTTACAGTATGTGACTTTTCACATTGCATCTTCATAGATTTGTTGCAAAACAAAGTGAACAATATTTACAGCTGCATAATTTGTCAAAAAAATCCGAAATGAGCCAGTATCATTATTCTGCAAAATGTTCTATAACATTTTTTGTTGGTTTTATCCCTACCTTTCAAATAATGTCTGTATAATAGGGAGATTGCCTTCTGAGAGCAGATTTGTGTAGAGGGGTCCTATAGTTAATCATTCACTTTCTTAGACTGAAAAAGTGATAGTTTTTCGTTTTGCTTTTTCGTGTTTTTTTTTTAATTGCAGAGGTTTTGTGTTGGAGTTTATTACCAAAATCAGTTTAATGGTGTGATTATATTGCCCTCATGATGGCCAAAGACATTTTAACAAGTTGATATCTGTCAAAACTGGTGGTAGGTTATGAATAATGAAGGTTAACTTTAACCATAAAAATTGGACTACCATAACCATTAGAAATTTTTACTATGCATTTTTTCGTTATAATAATGATATATCTCACCATTTGTATTTTATTAAAATAGAATCAGTCATAAATATAAAAAACAGTAATTTGGGTTTTTCCAATTTCCCTTTCAGATGAATGTGAATATGCACATTTTAAAATATTGTCACTTCTGACATGAAATTAATAAGTCTTATACTGTTATAATATTCATTTTATTATTCACCAATACTAAGCAGTTATAGTTTCCATTTTTTTTTCACTAGTTTATAAAAAAAAAGCAGAAAATACATGTTTTAGTCAGTCTTGTAAAAAAGCAGTCATACAAAATTAAACTTTTAAATTCTGGTTTGCTCTTAAAAATTTAATAAAACATAGCTTTAAAAATTATTTAATTTTTCAACAATAGCAAATTTCTGGATGCACAAAAAAAAAGGCATTTTTCTCTTAAGTTGAGTGTATGCAGAATCAGAATTTTTAGATTCTCTGCTATGATTAAATTATATATATTGACAATTTACTTTATTAAAGTTCTTATATTTATGCAAGTAACATTTTTCCTCAAGAAAACTAACCTTTATCTACCTAGCTTTGCTTAATCTGGTACACACTCAAAAGTTGTTATATGGTCTTCCTAAGTAGTTACCTATTTATTGATCAGGCTCACACATTACTTAAATTTGATCACACGAACTGTAGTTTTTAAATATAACTTGTCTGTAAACTGAAAATGTAATCTTTTCACTTTAATTTACCAATAACCATCTTTTCTGTATTAATTATAAAATTTTATTGATTACTAATTTTAGGACTCACAGTATTTATACTTAACAAAAAAAAATACCTTTTAACTTTTTCAAAATAAAACTTGAAAGTTCCGATAGACCAATGTATCCATTGTAATTTTTGTGAATTAAACACTTTAACTTTGTTAAATTGAGAAGTTTAGGTTACCCTTTTGTTGTAACCTAGGGGAGGTTACTGAAGAGAATAATCACATGAAGGTTGGTAATGAACGATAATACTTAGGACAAGAACAACACATATAAAATTTGTCAGCGGCGCATAAAAGTAGTAGTCAACTGCGAAGAAGTGAGTCAAGTGAATGCCACAATGAATATCCAACTACAGGATATCTGCCAACCATCCCATGCAGTCAGATGTGAAGAAGGCCAAATTTAATGTGGGGTATCCGAGCCTGTAGGCTCAACCAAAAATTTGCCCGTAGGCCCCGTTTAAAACGGTCGGGTAGCTGTTTCCCGAGACAAGACTCTGCCCTTCAACATAGCCTTGTCTGGGGATTGTCTCTGCCCAGAGGCAGAGAGTTTGACCAGCACAGCTGGAGACAAATCTCCAAGTGCAGACCAATATACAGTATTTACTACTATATTTATGTGAATGGGGATATACCCATTATCATTCGTAGGTATGCCACAACACCTTTTTTCTTTTTGCAATAAATTTGTCATGGCCATACATTATCTTTGCATGCACATACTTGCTTTTATGAATATAAGCTTATATTAAAGAGGGCTTTATAGATTTCTTACAGCTCTGTAAGAGCCATAGATTTATTTAGATTTCATTCTATTTTTTAATTTTCTTCTGTAAATGCTAATTTGTACACATTTTTATAAGATTGGGGTCTAACTTGTGAAGTGGCTATAGGTTACTGCTGCATATGAAGATCTTGATTATATAATCACAGATTTTTTTTTTTTTTTTTGCTATTCATTTAAATTGATTTAAGGTGTTGCTATTTTTATTTTTCAAATCTGCTCGTCAGCCCGCGTGGAAAGTAGCAAAAACAATAGTCAGGAAAAAAGGAGCAATCACATTTGCAGAAGATAAAGGGAGATCACTGCTTCTTCTGTTGCGAATCAAACTTTTTTTAAGCTCCATTTTTACATTTGTACATTTTTAAAACCGTTATTGTAAGAATTTACAATTTCTATTTTTTTTTCCTTTACAGTCAGCTATAAAAGCCAAACTGGTTGAACTTGGGGCTTATGAAGGTAAGTAATTTTAAAAACTAAAGGATTTTTAATGATTTTAACTTCTAAAACAGATTGTTTTCCATTGTCAATTATAATTTTTAAAAAAATACCCAACCTTTCAAAATTGGATTTACAAAATTATAGCTATAATTTATTTTATAGTTTTATGCCATTTTTTCTTCCAATTATAACTACAGATATTAATTTTTGCACTGAGTATTTGGGATGTGTGATGTGGTGTGATGGATAACAGCTCAGAATGAGAAATCTTAGAACCAAGTTCAAATTCCAGTCTGGTTTGTTACATTCACTTATGCACAAATACTCTTAGGAAAAGTATTAATTCCTCTCTTCTCCCCACCTGTGGGTTGAATAGCAAGACAGACTGGGTTCTATAGCTTTGGTTGGCAACCAGTTTTATAATATTGAGTAATAAATTATTACTGATATGTAAAACATAAGCTATATTAAAGAATAAAAATGTCTTTATGGATAAATTTTTTAAATTTATTTTTAGTACACGGCTCTGAAGAAGGATGTATTTCATATAGAAATCATTTTTGTGTAAAATTTTAAAATACTATCAATCACCCATTGAAAAATGGAAAAATTTCAATAAATTCTAATAAAATTCAGATTCCTCAATGAAAAATGTAACCCATCTAATAAACTTTAGATAGTATCACAATAAATTGTGCAAATATAGCATAAGATTAACACTGAGCAAAATATTATGCAATGTTTTGGGAATTTTATTAACTTCATAACGTAATTTTGTCATAACACTGTAAACATAAACAGATGAGAGAGACCTGTGGATTTTTATCTCAATAATGTTGTATTTTTATTTGTTGGATTAAGGCAACTTTATTCTGTGATTATAAAACACCCAGTGAAAAAGGAACTTGCAGGATGAATCCACTAAAATCTAATCTAGATTTGAGAAAAACTCAAGACCTAAATCTAACAAAGGAGCAGTCATCCTTTGTTATTGGTGTGAGTTATCGTATGATAACTCACACCAATAACAAAGGATGACTACCATTGACTAAAATAAAAATTTAGAGAGCATTTAATTTACGCATTAAAAGTTGAAAAGCTTTATTGAAAAAAAATTACTCTCTAATAAAATGTTCAATTTATTCTACTTGTAAAATTTAATGAAAAATAATCTGGTAATTTTTCTACTTTTTACTGCCACTCAGTTTATATTGTACAATAATCTTGTAATATAATATTGTTTTGAAAATAATGTATTACATTGTATCTTTTATTCAGATGAAGAGCTTCCTGACTACATCATGGTGATGGTAGCCAATAAAAAGACACATGCACAGATGAATGAAGATCTCCATCTTTTCTTGGGGAGTAGCACAGAAAAATTTACCTCCTGGTAAATAAAATTTTTTTATTGATATAAGAGACTATATCAATTATCTACTTGTACACAAGATTCATTTCATATAAAATTTCACTTTGTTCTAATGTTATGAAAGTCACAAAAAGTATTTTTATTGATTAGTTTGTTTTTAGTAAATTCCATTAAATTTCATGAAACTGTCAAAGCTGCTTACAGAAACATACCAAATTATGTCAATATTGAATAACTAATTGTAGTTTTTTTTTTTCTTTAGCTTATTGTACCTTATTTGTTAGAAGATACAAAAGGCTAAAAAAAAATTAATTTTTAAAAATTTTCCTGATCATTGCTTTCAGGTTGCAAACTATTTTGAACAAGCTAAAATCCATCACAATTGGTGAGTTACATTTTACACTCTCACAACTTTTCATTCTATTTATATATGACTAGCAGCATGGCCCGGCGTTGCCCGTGCTTGATTCAAAAATCGTACGACTCATACAGCAATCGCTATCACTTGACTTAAAATATTTTTGCCCTTCCTTGCCTTTAAAGGAGTGCCCCTTGCCGTGCTGATGTTGCTACATGCCTTACTTCTTGCCTATCTCATGCAAATTTTTTATAAGCTCTATAGTAAACATTAAATCTGTTACGAAAAAAAGAACTAAACAAAATGAACACAAAACGATCAGCTTTAAAAAAAGGACTCGTAACTGGAAGAACCGAATGAAAAAAGAATGTTAAACTTTTTCACACCCAACTCAGTTCTGCGGAATCAGAATCAACATTGAGTTTAAGCAAGCGAATGAGCCAATTGGAGTAAAGTGCCATGCAGATTTAAATTTTTCCCACTTGTGACGAATGCAGCTACCGATTTTTTTTTTTTTTTTTTTTTTTTTGCATGCTAGTATGCTAGTTAACATTCGTGTCAGTCAGTTGTTGGCTCTCATGCTGGCCAATAGAATCTTCCTGCCTATTCGTGGCAGCCAGCTATAGGCTCTCACTCTGGCCAGTAGAAAACTACATGAAAACTGCCGTAGAAGCATGAAAAAATCGATTATTTCCACTATCGATGGGAGTTGGGAAATGCAAAGTCAGTCTTGGCCTTCCCACTAACTTGGAGCATGTGCATGTAAATTTTGGTGCAAATCCGTAAAATTGCGTCCGTGTATTCACATTACACACATCCTGCCTATATATATATATATATATATATATATATATATATATATATATATATATATATATATTGAGCACTTTTTTATTATTTTAGCTGTTGGTAGGGAGAGCTTTACCTTTGATTGTGATAGATGCTATTTTCAGTACCCTAATTATTTTATATTCAATGTTTTGGGGTTTTTTTTACGCATTTCACCCCAAGCAAGTCAGAAGTGCCATTATCACACAGGGGGTTATGGAGAGTGAAAATGAGAGAAAAGTGTGGGTGTAGGGAGGGATTGAAGAAAGGAAAAACGAACAGGTATCAATGCAACAAAACATGGTGACTGATGTTGCATTTAGGTATTTGATGATTGTAGTTATCAGGGAAGCAAGTGAGAAGAATGGAGTTCCAATATGGAGAAGTGCGAGGAAAGAAAATGTTAGAAGGGCAGTTACATTTAACTATTTCAACAGTAAAAAGTTGGGACCTAGATGCCAATCTAGTAGTACACTTAAATTCATGTAGTCAGGGCACCAGGGCTGTGTTTATGTCAGCTGCTGTTAGCATCGTAGCTGGTTGGCAATATCTTTTTGGTTGATGACTAAAATTAACTTCCGCATTTTGACTGTACACATTGGTTTCATTTGGACACCATGTGTATTTAAAGTAGTTTTCGGTTATTATTTTTTAGTTAGGAGGACTTTGTATGTTTAGGTTTCATTTGTTTTACTTTTTTTGTATCGTTCTCTGAAAAAAAAAACGCTGAGTCACCGGAAGTTAACGGCATTCGGACGTTTGAGTAGCCAGCAGTAACTTCTGGCCAGGTGCGATACCCTTAACTGTGCTTTTAAATTGATTTCATGCTAAAACAATTGTTTTTCCAATTTTTGGCACTGTCAGAACCACCGCCAGATAATTTTACGTAGTCCTGGAAAGTTTTGTTCAAATCAGTTGAAAAATGTAGGAAATACGATCCTATATATAAACGTACAGACACACACACAATCTGCATTTTATAATAAGACTAGCAGTAGAGCCCAGCGTTGCCCGGGGATATAACAGTAAGAGATAGATCAAGTATCCACCATCATAAAGACTGAAAAATAAAATTGACAAAGATTATTGTTTAAGGTTGACAATAATTAAGGTTGTGCATGTCTTAATTAGTTTTTTTTTTTTTTTTTTTTTTACAAATTGGTCAAACTCAAGCAAAAACATTGTTTTCAATTGTTATGATTGAATAGAATTTTATTATAAACAATTGTCTTGTAAATGGAATTTTTAAAGCATTCTGAATGTAAAATAAAAAAAAGTGTGCAAGACAATAAGAAACACTACATGCCAAAAAAAAAAAAAAAAAAGTGAAGTTTTGTTGAAATCGGGTTGAAAAATGTAGGTAGCCTTTCTGTAATCTTTTAGTTTTGCAATTTATGATTTTTACTTATTGAATACAAAAAAAAATTGCATATTTTGCTTGTGGTGATTCATAATTAGAATTCTGATTTGAATATATTTTCCACTCGTTGTTTCTAATACAAAAAATATTAACTTTATTTGGGTTTATTAATTATGATCTAACAAATCTTATTCATTTAGTAGCCTTCTCTGTAATATATAATAATCTTTTTACAATTTATGATTTTTACTTATTGAATACAGTAAAAAATTGGACACCATGTATTTAAAGTAGTTTCCCATTCGGTTATTTTTTTTTAGTTAGGACTTGTATGTTTAGATTTCATTATCTTTCCTAAAGATAAAGAATTTATTCCGATGTTTGTATTTGTACAATCAGTAGAGATCATTAGATTATTGTTTAAGGTTTGACGGACGTGTGTCTTAATTAGTTTTTCTATTTTTTACTTAATTGGTCAAACCCAAACAAAAACATTGTTTTCAATCGTTATGAGTCTACTGATTGAATAGAATTTTATTATAAATAATTGTCTTGTAAATGGAATTTTTAAAGCATTCTGAATGTTAAAAATAAAGAAAAAAAGTGTGCAAGAGAATAAGAAACACTACCTGCCCAAAAAAAAAAAAAAGTTTTGTTTTATCGGCTGAAAAATATAGGAAATCCGCTCCCATATTTAAAGTAACCCACACACACAAACAACCCGATGTGAGTTGTCCCCCTTCCATTTGCACGATGTCTCTTAATCGTGTTTTCAAATTGATTTTGTGCAAAAACAATTATATTTTTCCCATTTTTGGCGCTGTTAGAATCACCACAAGGTAATTTTATGTAGTCCTGTGAAGTTTTGTTGAAATCGGTTGAAAATGTAGGAAATCCAATCCAATATATAAACGTTACAGACACACACACACACAATCTGCATTTTATAATAAGTAAGATAAAAAGGTCAGCCAATGAAAAGGTAGATGAAATCATTCAAAAATTCAATAGTCAATCAAAAAGGATACATTTTTGTTGGATGCTATTTTTAAATTATTAAATTTACTTATTGATAATGTAATAATTATTCTGTTAGCAGTATTTGTTTTTTATTATTTCTGCATCATGCAAATAAATTATAGTCTGGAGATTAAATTTTTAGTTAACTTTCTCACTCATAATTCTAAATCCTATTAGATAACAAAATAATTTATTTTCTTAATGTATGACTGCTGACTGAAATTATAATAGTAACCTACTGTATAAAAAAAAATTTATTCATAAGATGTTATATTGTAAAAGTTTCTTGTAAAAATCTGTATATACATTCTTGGTTTAAATAATATATACTGTGGCAGCAATAATTCATCCAAACAAGTTTTAATTAAATCAGCTGATATGGTTAGTCTTTAATTGTTTATTATATTTTTGCTAGTTTTTTTTTTTTTTTTTTTTTCATTTTCATATGTGGGTCAAATAATCATAATAAATTTGGATTCATTAATCATTGTGAGACCCCTCTCTGTCTTCCATCAGCATGGCTGATGCTAACCTCCAGAAAAGTGACGTTGCACCTACATGAAGTGAAAAGAATATATTATTGCACCATTGCTAGGTCAGCTGCTAAGAAAGTTGGTTCACTGTGTCATGCAAGACAATTTTTCTCTCCAGAATCTATTCTGCATATCTATGTCTGCCATTCACCTATGCTTAGAATATTGCTGCCACATATGGTCTGGTGCCTCTGCTATTTACCTTGAGCTCATTGATAAAGTCCAAAGAATAATCAGCAATATTATCAGTCTTGTGCTTCAATCACTTTCCTACAACCGTAAGGTTGCCTCCCTGTGTTTTTTTTCTATAAATACTTTCATAGTAATTGTTCAGATGAGCTCTTCACTATGGTGCCTAGACTTTTTGAATTTAAGTGCAGTACTAGACTGTTAACAAGGTCTCACCAATTTACAGTTGAACTGGCTAGATGTAACCGTAAATTCTATGCTTGCAGTTTCTTTTCTTGCCTTTCTTGTAGAACTCCCTTCTACATAACACGCTTTCCAGGCAACTTTAATCCCCAAGAATTTAAATGCAATGTCAATTGCTATCTACTGTCTTGATTACACTTTTCTTTTCCTGAAAGAATTAGGAACATGTAATGTTTCTGTTCCTAATTCTTTCACTTCCATTAACCCCTTGTGTCTTAGTGGCTTTACTGCCTTGCTCGAAGTGAAACCAATTGAAAAACTGTCCAAAGCTCATGGTATACTCTTGACTATCTCTAGTCATTATCAGGAACACTATCTTGCACCATACAAATATCATTTTATTATCATTATGGTAACAGTTACACACAAACTGATGGCATAGTTATGGGCTTGCCTCTGGGTCCCACTTTATCTAATCTCTACACTAGCCATGTAGAAAACAAGTCTTTAATAATTTCAACAAACCTTCAATATATTGATGGCATTTTCTTATTAACAGAAAACATCAATGAATTAAAAACCCTTAAAGAAACATTTGAAAGTAACTCTGTTCTACAATTCACTTATAAACTCAATATTAAAAATAGAATGTGTTTTATGAACATTCTAGTAGATGCTCATGATGATTCTATCACTTCAATATATAAAAAACCCACAAGTAAAAAATTTGTGTCTTAATTATAAAAGTGAATGTCCTCACAAATATAAAACAGGTTCTTATAAAAAAAAAACTTGATTAACTATGTAAAAATGATTTCCTCTTTGGACACATTGTTTTATAGAGAATTAAGCAACATAAAACAAACTTATCAACAATAATTTCCCATTTTGTTGATGAAGAAATAAGATTGGCTTTAAAGAAATTTAGAAAAAGTAATATAAACAAAACTAACCAGATACATCCTAATTATAAACAAGATGAAAAGGCTATTAAAATTATAATTTGCCATTTTATAAAACTTATTGATCCTAACAAATACCTTAGATTTATTATTTATTACAAAAATTCAAAATGTCCAATCTAATTCTTAGAAATGGTTCATTACCTTAAAAATCCACCCTCAAGTGTCCTTTGAGAGATTGTATCTTCAACACTAACAATCAACAACCATTAAATTCTTACATTCATCACACGTGCACCACATAGGTTGACTTGTCATTTATCAAAATTTAGTGCAATTCATGCATATGTAGATTAACATATCACAAATAATCAAAATAATATTAACATAAGATAAATTTTAATAGATAACAGCAAAATATTATACAGGATTCACTGCAAAGAAAAATTAAAATTCTAGTTGTAATACAAGGGAAGCAGCCAATATTAAATAGAGTAGCTTTCTCTATAGGAGATTGTATATTGAAGTGTACATAGGGAAAAAAATCACATCAAAATTCAGTTTGACCATTGTAAATGATGTCACCTTTAAGTGAGGGAATGCCAGAATTAGCCAAACCCTGTTACATAAACAATTGAAAGTACTCAGATTGAAAAAAAACAAGAATTAACTTTGGAAAGTTGACCAATTGTATAAAACGATTTTGTCAGAAGTTGGAAAAACTTTAAAAAAATTGTACAGACTTTGTTGCTATTGTTCAACTGTATTTGTTTAAAAGAATTCTTGCTGCCTAAATACACTTTATTTTTACTAACAAACAGGGATTTTTTTCTCCTGATGATGGCATGCTGGCTGAAACTAGTCAAGGAGCCTATCACACACATATATATATATATATATATATATATATATATTATAAATTAATTGATTTAAAATATGGTTATAACCATATTTTAAATCAATTAATTATAATATTAATGCTCTGTAAATTTACATTGAGCACTATTTTGTAAAAATAAAATATCTATAAGAACACGGATTTTATATCTTACTGTTTTTCTTTTTATTTTTATATATATATATATATATATATATATATATATATATAAAATTTTCTATGTCAGAATTTAGATTTGGTTGGTTGTTAGATTACAAACACATCTTGTCTGAAATAATATTTACAGTTAATAAGTGTTGTTTCAATTTGTAATTAAATTTTGAGAACTAATGACTTTTTCCTGTTATCATAACCTTCTAAATTACTGAAAATTTGCTCAAAGAAAACAAGGACCAAATCTCCCAGAATGTAAAGCATGTTTGTAAGAAATTTAAAGCATTAAACTAGTTTCAATTAATGTGATAAAAAAGTGATTTTTGTTTTCTATGGTTTGGTAGAAATTTGCAATATTAAAAATTAAATATTGCTTGTGTTTCTTGGCATAGCTAGAAATAGGACAATGATTAGCTTCATAAAACAATGAAAAAATATTTAATTACAACTGGTACAAACAAGTAGCCATATATGAAGCTCAATCAACCAGATAAGTCAGTCATTGCAAAATGTCTGTTATTCATCATTTTTTCTTTCATTTAGAGTTTTGTCCTTACTTTCAGGCAATCCTTCTGTGATGAGTGCTGTTGTAAATCAAGAAGTTGAAGACTCTAACAACAGTAATAATAATAATGATGACACTGGGGTACCCGAATTATTGGTGCAGACTGATATGGGTAAGAAAATATATGTACAGCATCAAGAATATCCTGAAATTTTAATTAATTTGATAGAAATGTGATTTATTTTTACAGGAAAATTAACTTATTTTACAAATGTTTTCATGATATTTGGATACCAGATATTAAAACCTTTTTTTTTTTTTTTTTTTTTTTTGGTCTATGATAAATCAAATTTACCATTGTCTATGCTACATATATTTCAACCCCAAAATTTATTTTTATCCATAAATTTAACAAAGACACAAGATAAATTTTCGTGTATTTTGATTCTTTGGCACAAAAAATAATAATTTTTTAACATTATTTTTAATTTGATAGCAAATTTTATAATGGTGAAATTTATGCAGTAAAAACTGCATTAAGCAGGTTTTTTCCCCAAAAAAATAGATATTCACTGCTATTATTAGAAGAATTTAAAATAGCATTATCTATTACAAAATTTAAACTGAATTGTGAAGAATTCAAATTAAAAGTTACATGTATCTCTGTTTTATGCCTTTTTACTTGTGTATCTTTTCTTATATTACAAATTAGCTTAAAAGCCACCCTATTGAGCGGCATTTAAACTAGCTCCTGCAAAGGGCTCTTGATTGGGCTTTTATCACACTAGGTAGGAAGGAATAGATGGGATAGGCAACAATAAACTACAGAAGAATTCAAAATTGATCCCTGCATTTAAGTATTGCATTAATATTTAAGCTTACCTTTTAAAAGTTCAACGATAATTCTTTTGCCACCACTTAATTTAAAGACAATTTGATGTACATAAGTCCTTACTTTCCATACAAACAATTATTTTTATTTCATCAGTGATTTTTGCTGGATTTCACAATTTTGATTATTTTCAAATTTATTTCCAAGTTATAAAAATTGTTATTGTACAATAAATTTGTCGTAAAAATATCACCAAAAACAATCACAGTAATGAAAAGTTGGGAATCCAAAATTTCAGGATTGTGGATCTGGATCCAGAATGTTTTTAATTTAGTCACAGTCAGACTGATTCCAAAATGGTATATGTTAGGCTATGGCCTCCAGGAGTAAAGTTGAAAACACGGACAATTTTATTTTGAGACACTGTAATTTGAGAACTGTAATTTTTCTCATTTGAACATGAAAGTTAGAGAGTTGTGTCCCTTTAAGTTGAAAAAGTTTGACACACTGACATTCGCATTTATTATATATAGAAGATATTAAGAAGTTTGAGTAACAAGAACATTTCATTTTTTTCTTTTTTAATCATTTTCTGCCAGAAAAAATGGATGCTGCATATACCAGGATTTTCTATATTGGACTACATTTGAAAATCCAACACTACTAAATTTTGAATTAATTTTCTTAATAGTTCATGTGAAAAAGATATGATTACACAGCATGATCCTAGGCTATATAGATACAGCAGAATCAATTAATGTAGAAAGATTTCTGGTATTTTAATTTACCCATAAAAATATTAATAGATTTCTCTCTCTCTCTCTCTCTCTCTGTTTTTCCCAGATGAATTTGAAGAAGAACAAGAAGAAAGCAATCTCAGTTTAATTGAAAAATCCAGTAGCATTGAAGTTTCACATTTGGCTGGTACTCCTATCAAGGAAAATTTAAAAGGAAATCTCAATTTTACTTCTTCTATTGATGCAAATCATCCTTTCAATGTACAGTTACAATCATCAACTCATTATCTCAACCCTAACTGTAGTTCCAGTGTTATATCCCATCTTCTACAGAACATCAACACAACTCAAAGTCAGCCTACCACCACCACTACTACTACTACTACCACTGCTGCTGGGTACTCAAGTAATAAGAAACAATCTCCTCCATTGCAAATTGATTTAATTGCCGGCTATTCTGACAAGCAAATTCCAAATGCTGTCACAGGTCCTCTCAGTAGCCAGTCACAGGCAAATGTTCATCTTGCAAAGGTAAGTTTTGTAATTAGAAGCTAATTCTTTAACAAAATGCAAAATTTGAATGCTTCTAATTATTTATGACTTTTCTTAACCATTTTTTTCTTTTATGTTTAATTTTATTTGTTATTCTATTTCAGGTACACCCTCATAATAGGAAACGTCGAATTCCTGGTTCTGTGATAGGTTCAGTTATTCACCATTCAAGTGGAGAAGAAGAAGAAGAAGAGTATGATCCTTACAACCCTTCTTATGGCTCTGTAGCCAGTGTAGTTCGTGTTACAGAAAGAAAGTTAGTTTAAAAACTAATCTTTTTGTTATTGCATGATCAAGTGAAAATATTTTATTCATTTATATTTTATTGTTTATTATCAGATCCAGTGTTCCACCAGAACTTCAAGCAAACAAATGTCTCTTACTCAAAGCTGTCAAGGAAGCACATAAATCTTTAGCTTCACAAGAAAAAAGAAATGCAGGTGAGTTAAGTTTCTTTTTCAAAATCTTACAAATTATGTATTTAGTCTTAGTGTGTATATCTAATTTAATGGTTAGAAATAGTTTAAAGATCTAGTATTCATCTTTAAACTATTTCTAACCATTAAATTAGGAAGTAATTTGTAATGAATGTCATGTTGGATCTTTTCATTACAAATTACTTCTCGGTTTGTGCATTACTTATTAACCTTGCATCTTGTTAACACCAAATTATCATCTACATGAGATTTGTTAAGCAATAACAGTACTTAAATAGTACTTTAGTGAAAAATGTTAAGAAAAGATGCAAAAACCAATACAAAGTTAGAGGATGGTAATGCCAAGGAAACTCACATTTTTGTAATAACATCTTGTAAAAATAGTCGTACTATGTACCATAAATTTTCTTAGTTCCTCCAATACAAAATAAAGTAGACAAAGTATTATGGTTTTTCTATGTACGCACATGATTAACAAACACCAAGGTTAGGAATATAAAAACAAAATTTTAAAGGAGTTTTCTATTACCAAATAAACAAAAAAGGTCTACCACTCGTCCCTTCAGCCCCTCAACCTCCGGCATCCTCCTCTTTGCCCACTCAGTCTGAACCGAACTCAGGTAGCTGGCCACACGCTCCCTGAGTACCCGTAGATTGTTCGACCGGTCACTGGCCAAGTTCCGCCTGCTGCCCACGTCATGTTAGTTTTTAGATCCAGTAAGCGGGGTGTTGTCCATACATTCACAGTCGATTGGGGATGTAGGCACGGCTGTGAGGGTGGACAGCAGGAAAATTAGAATGTGGCAAACAAGGAAATAATATCTGCAAAAGCCGAACAACAATGGGTAAAATATTAATGTCTTTTATGTAAGAAAACAACAACAATAGAAAGAGTTTACAGAAAGGGTAGAAAAGCAATTAACATAAGAACAGAGGACCACTCCTCTACCAATTATACCAACAGAGAGAGGTATGTATGTGATTAACTCGTTCCAAATCAACTTGGGAGGATATGTGACTCGTAATTCCAGCCCTACGTGGAAGTGTAGCTTTTCAGTTGGTTGTTGTAAGTGACAAACATTAAGTTTCAGCGACTTTTCAATGTGACTGCTACAACAACAATGATGTTTCTTGAAGTCCTTATCTCTGAGTCACCACTGGACCAACTCACTGCAACAACAGTCTCTCTCTCTCTCTCAACGTCACTCTCGTCTAACGCCCAAGTCTCCCCAACTCAGCAAAACTTGCGTTTATATAGCAAACCGAAGGTTATAAGCCAGGTTATTCACACGCTTAACACGAATGTCGCCATAAGCAAAGTTTAAATTCAGATCTATTTCAAATCTCTTAGTGGATAAAATTAATTAGTTTAATGTGTTCATTTCAATTGTCTTTTTGATGACCAAATTCAGCGGATACAACTTATGTTTAGAGCAGATTTCGCTAGCAGTAAACATACACTGATCTTACCTCCCCTGTCCAATTTACTTCAATATGTTTTTACCAAAAATATTATTTTCATCTATTTTTTTTTTTTTTTTTAATGACCCAAATTAAACATCACCTCCTGCCCTTTTGCATTTGTTTATAAACAAGTCCTCGCCAACCCGATTTGAAATTTACTTTTTTTCCATCACCCGTCATATATCATTGTTCTAGATTCTTTCCTATTAATAGCGCTGACACAGTTTGTAACTTTCACGGAAGATCGTGTTTTCCTTCTTCAATCAATAAACATTATATTTGCATGTGTGCATTCATGTGCATCAACCTCTCTCTGTTACAAATGCATATTCTTGACATACTTTTGTTGAAAGTAGTTCCCTCCTCACATATTAAGCAAGAAGAAATTTATTTAGAGTTTGAAGTTTTGTTTGCTCAGTTAGCCAAACTTCAGCCTAATTCTGTTAGCAAGATCAGTGACCTTAAAGCAAAGTTAAATGACATAGCACATTCTTACGCAGGTGCTCCTGTTTCCTTTAATGAATCAAAGTGGAACAGAGAACAACATCAGGTAATTAAATCACTTCGTTGTAATAAGTCTTTGATAATTATGAAACCTGATAATGGCTCAGGTGTCGTCATTCTTGATTATCAAGATTATGTAAACAAGATGATGACTATTCTTGGGGGTTCTTCTAAATTTGCCCAGTTAGGCCCAATAGATAAATTTGATTCTACATTATCTATTGAGGCTAAGTTCCAAAACTATCTAGTCAAGTCGGTTAAAAGTGGGATTTTAGCTACTGACATTTCTAATTTAATTAGACACTGGGTTCCATTGAGACCTATCTTGTCCATGATAGGGTCTTCTCAACATGGTGCAGCCAAATGGCTTACCGCCATATTACAGCCAGTTTTGGAATGGTATAATTCTTCCTGTATTAAAGATCTAATAAAGATCTGATGTTTACTTCCGTTATGTGGATGACCCTTTTTGTCTCTTCAATAACAAGACTGAAGCAGAGCATTTTCTTTCGTCCCTGAATAATATTCATCCAGCTCTCAAATTTACACAAGAAAATGAAATTAATTTTTCCCTTCCCTTTCTTGATGTTTTGGTTAGCAGAACGTCTTCAGGTTTTCTTGCTACTGTTTATTGAAAACTGACATTTACCGGTTTGTATACATGTATACTCTTTTTGTCCCATAAAATGTAAAATCAATTTAATTAAGATCCTTACTCATAGGGCCTTAATGATCTGCTCTAAAACCAAGCTAGATGATGCACTCAAGTTTATTACCACCACTCTCTATAACAATGCCTATCTGTTGGGCCTTGTTTAATCAGTAATTAAGAACAAAATTTTGGAATTCAATAAAGTTAAACCAGCTATGGTACAGAGATGTCCTGTGTATCTACGCCTTCCTTGGCTGGGTAGTATCAGTGATGGATATGCTAAGCAAGTTTCTTTAGCAGTTCGACATTGTTACTTTGCTGCTAACACTCATGAATTTTTTTCTCTACACCATAATAGTTTTTTGATTTATTCATTTAAATGTAGTTGTTGTTCACACAACATAGGAAGAACAACTCAAAGCCTGGATGTTTTTCAATAAAACAGTATGTACCATCAAAAATCTGAAATCTCAAGTATTCGACATTCTGACAAACACATACTGGTTTTCTATTGCAAATCACATAATAAATAACCATAATTGTGCTGCTAATTTCAATGTGGACTTGTTTATCATTCTTAGTAAGTCCCACTTGAAAAAAATATTGGAGGCCATATACATTTTGTACTGGGCCTTCAATTAATTTCCATTTAAGTATTTTTTTCCTTTCATTAATATTGTCCATCTTTTTATTGATAATTATTTATTAACCTTGATTTAACTCTGTTGAGCGAGGTTCAATACTGGTTATCTAGCTCATTTTTCAATTTTATCCTGAATAGTAATAAATATAAACTTTGTCTCTTCATGGCTGTCATTATATATATATATATATATATATATATATATATATATATATATATATAAACACCTCAAAAAAAAGTAGCCTTTGTGTTCATTACACAATAACTTTCTAACAGACTCCTTTCCTCTTATCACAGTAGAACTGATTTTCAATTTCCTTGTGATGATAATCATGGACAATCACTATTTGCCTTAGAAATGTTAGTTTCAAAAACTATAGCAATTTCATTTCATTTCAAAAATTTATCTTATAAACATATTTATTGTTATAATCTTTAAAGGTTGTCATTACAGCTTGTATTTAAAGATGACTCAGTTGTAAACTTTGGTTTGTGAGATTAAAATTTCCCTTTTATTTCTACTTTTATTTAAAAAAGTAATTCCAATTTTTTTTTTTTTTTTTTTTTTTCAATGCGGAAAACCTAATTTCATTTTACAAACATATTGCATTATACAAAATGTAACATTTTATCAATGTCTTTGAAAATTTATTCCTAATATATTAAAAGATCAATTTCAACGACTACTGGAATCCATCGATTAGTGCGGCTAATGTGTACATCAGTAACTATAAAAAATCAATTTTCAATTACTATGGTTAAACTCAAGAATGTTTTACCGCACTAATCAAGTATCGAATTTTGGTATGTAAAAATTTTAGTGCACTAACTGAAAACACTTTAATTGAATGCCTGTACTTCTGATTTTTGTTGTTTTTTTTTTGTTTTTTTTTTTCCAGAAAAAGCTTTCATAAAACCAATGCCTCAGGAAGTTCCAGAAAAACGACTTAAATTGTCTGAGAAAATGCACCAAAAACGTTTGTTGATGTATTCTCAATCAAAGAAAACTAACAACCTTTTGCCAAATAAGGCAGAAGATTCTTATGAGATAAACTATACTGAAGATGATGGTAAGAAATTTGTTTGAGTCTTATAAAATCATATTGAAACATTAAGTGGTTGAAAATATTGGATATTGTGTTAGTGATAATATATTATGAAATGTAATAAATACACAATAACTAATCATGGCCCAGAAGGTTGTGGAATGGTTGATGTTGGGAATATCACTTCTGGAATGGGGATATCAGGCAAAGAACTGAAGTGAAGGATCTTGATGTGCAATACTGTCCAAACAAACTCAGACTGGCTGGACATGTTACCTGATGATCAATGCACCTGTATAGTTGCCAAGTTGTACCCATATTTATTTTCTATTTTTAGTGGATACACATTGCTGTTCTTGTTTTTTTATTATTATTATTTACTTAAACAGTGAAATAATAACTGTCTTAGTTTGCTAAAGAAGTCCTACTAAAGAAAAATTGTGCTTCTGACAGGAATCAAACCTGGATTCCTTTTTCCCATCAGGGAAACTGGTTTTTTAACCAAAGAATGCTGATACCAGTTTGGCCACAGGGACCAACCTGGCAGAGAAAGGTTTGAATTACCTATTTAAGGAAAGCACATCTCTCATTGATACTTCTATGAATCAATATCTGTTAGCTTCAGTTTCTTGACCAAAACATAAATGTCTGTGCCCAAACTGGTAGTGACATGCTTTGGCTAAAAATGTGGTTTCCCTAATAGTATAAAGATACTTGTTTGATTTCTGTCAGAGGCACAATTTTTTTAAATTAATATTTGACTGTTTAAGAAAATAAAAAATAGGGATAACAACTCAAACAGGTGTACCCACTAAAAATAACATATATTTTTATAATAATATATATATATATATATATATATATAGTGTGTGTGTTTTGAACAATAAAAAATATTGAGAAATTGATTTTCAGACACACTGGGTTGTATATTAATATTTTTTTGTTTTATTATTTCAATTAGATTCCTCAACTAGTTTCAGCTAGCATGGCCATCACCAAGAGAAAAAAATTCTGGTTGTTAGTAGCAGTGAACTACAGGAATAAATAGCTTTCTGTAGAAAATGAACTTTATCTGTAGTTTTCATTTTTTTACTTATCGTTAATTTTAATCAGTCCTTGTGTTGGGTCAAATGGCCTCTGTTGTTGTTTTTTTGTTTGTTTGGTTTTTTTTTGTTTTTTAAGATAGAGGCTGGATAAATTCATGCTAATCTAAATTCCCTTGATCATTTTGACAGTTTTATTGGTTCCTGGGAAGAGGATATGTGTGTGTTAAGTGTATGTTATCATTTAGTTCTTCAGGAGTGTGTATGATGTGTGTAAGTTTATATATTAGTATGGGTGTGTGTATAAGTATGAGACAGCAACACCACCACAAGCATGTCTGTCGTGTGGGTGAGAAATGTGGGTAGGGCTTGAATTTTGAGATTATATATATTAATTCTATCTATGTTAAATTTGTGATTAAGCCTGTCTGGATGGAGTATTTTGAGGCACAAAATGCATGTGTCTTCATGGTTTTCTAAAATTTTTCTTATGTTATTTATTCTGTACTTTTCTATTTTTTCAACTATAGTGAATTTGGCATGGCTTTTAAAATCCTGTTTTTCTAGACGTAATAATCTTTGGTGGGGAGCCAACTTAATTCAATTACAATAATTATTAATTCTGTAGTGAAAGAACTATTCAGATTTTCCTACATATTGTTTCTGGCATAGTGTGCATTCTAATAGGTAAATTATGTTATGACTTCTACAGTTAGAGTTGTGGTAGATTTTGAAAATAGATTTAGTGACTGAGCTAGTGAACAAATTGGTGTGTTTAATGTGATTACAGCATAAGCTCTTTTTGTTACATGGTTGGGAAAATCCTGGTGTTTTTTGTTTTTTTTTTGGTTTATTATGGATCACCTTATCTTTTAAAATGTGCTTTCTACCTATAATTTCCTTAAGGTTCTTATGTCTATGATATGCTAGAAAACCTGGTTCCTCAGACAAAATTTTTAGGTCTGGTTTGAGATGTAGTATTTTCCAGTGACTTTTGATTATTTGGGATAGTAGAGGAAGAGTGTGGTTAAAAGTGGTTACTAGAGGGATGCGTCTGGATTTATTTTTAATTTTGTACATTAGGGTGTTTTCTCTAGGTGTGGAAATTGCTTTATTTGTTCCCTGATTAGATGTTTATAGCCACGTGTTGTGAATTGATGCTCAAAATTTTGAGTGTGTTTTAGTTCTTCATTGTTGGAACATATCCTTCTGAGTCTAAGTGCTTGTAAATAGGTAAAGTTCTCCTTGAGGTGTTTAGGGTGGGAAGACTTAGTGTAGATAGTTGTGGATGTCTGTGATTTTAGTGTGTAATGTCATTTGTAGTTTTCTGTTTTTATCTGTGTAAATGCAGATATCTACAAATGTTACTGATCTTGTGGAATTTTCATAGTCAAACTTAATTGAGTTGTGTACTGTGTTTAGGGCTATGAGGAATTGAGTGAGTTTATCCTCACTGCCCATGTATACAAAGAAGATATTATCGATATATCTTGCATAGAATTCGCAGTCGCTACTGAAGAAGGGATAGATATGAGTCTCCTCAAATTTTCCCATGAATATTGTAGTATATGATGGAGCTGCTATGGTGCCCATAGCACAGCCTCTTACTTGCAGGTAGTGTGCTTCATTGAAGTTTAAAGTATTCAATGTAAGAATATGCTCCATGAGTTTTATGATAACTTGGGGGGTCTTTTTAGTAAGTGCTTCCTTAAGGGTGGTTAGTCCTTTGATGTGTTTAAGGTTTGAATAAAGTTATCTTACTTCCATAGTCACTAGAATAGCATTTTCTAGTACTATTTGCATATGATTAATTTTGTTTAGTAAGTCTGTTGTGTCTTTGGTGTACGATTTTACTTCTTCAGCTAGGGGCTGTATGTAATGGTCTACGTATTTGGAAATTTTGGTCATGTGGAAAGTTGAATGATGAAATGACCGGCCTTCCTGTGTTGTTTTTGTATATTTTGTGAAGAAGATAGAAGCATGCAGGTGTGATGTTTGTGGGTGTAAGTGTTGTGCATGTTTCCTTGTCAATTAATTTGTTGCAAAGCATCATGTTTAGTGAGCTTGTTAATTCTTTCTGATATTCAGAAAGAGGGCCTGTGGGTTTTTTTTTTTTTTTTTTTTGTCAGCTAGCTAATTGTTGGCCTCTTTAATGTATTCTTTGATTCCCCAGATCACTGTAGCACCCACTTTGTCAACCTGTGTAATGATTAGGTCATCTCTATGCATCTGCATGTCAAGGGCCACACACACACACACACACATATATATATATATATATATATATATATATATATATATATATATATATATATATATATATATATATATACACACACATACACACAATTTTTCTATATATGGCTATGATTAAATTCCACAAATTAAATAAACAAAATTAGTTTTAACATAAAGCAGTGTTGTAGCCACATGAAGCACTGTACAATGTGTGTGTGTGTGTGTGTGTATATATATATATATATAATACTGTAAATTTAACTCTTTATTTTAAATGCATTCATGCAAATAATTTCCTATCAAACAGAATAAAACATATAAATGAAAAATCTTACCACTTTATATAGTACACTGATGTCCACATGGTGTCATTCCTGATAACAGGAGGGCCAAGAAAATTAGGTGCCTTGTGTCATATATTATAGATAAGATGAATGGGAAGGAACATTTCCTATTGGCTGGTTTATTGATCAGTTACTACAAATTGATGCCATTACAATTATTTTTAGTTGATTTAATGCAATAAAAGTTAAATATAGTTTGCTGCTGGGATGCATGTTGTCATGTGATCAATGATGGCAAGTCAGCTGGACAAAATGGTTGTCAAAATACCTAAAACTATCAACAAACCCAGTATTGAAATCATGGATGACACTCCACAGTATATCTTGTAATAGATATTGAAATTCAAAATATCATCAGCTTTAAAAGAAGTTGCTATATTAAGAACATAAATTCACTTAAAATGAAATAATAGCATGGTAGAATTTCTTTTTTATATTTACAAATTTCAATTTATTTTTTTGACCTCATGTGAGATCTTAATTTTCTAATTGGGTTCAATGATTTTAACTTTGATTTGACACATTTACTCAAAAAACAAGTTATGCATATGTTCATAAAAATTAAAAACAATCTTGCTGTTTTGTATTAATAATAGTATGAAAAAGAAAATAAAGAATTTTATTTTTCTAGAACTGAATACAGCTGAAGAAGATTCAAGATTGGTGGAATGTAAATTACGTCGTCCACGAATTGCCATTTTAAAGCAAGCAACAACACCATCACTGTTAGAGGGAAGATTGAAGCTTGTCAGTGATTCACAATTAGATGATGATCTTCAGTTGTCAGTTGAATGTGCTGATTCATCCAACTTTGATGAAGAGGAAACAAATTCACAAGAGAGCAGTTCCAGAATTGTCAAAGATAAGTAAGTACATTTGTGTTTTATTAATTTTTATTCTCAAAAGATATTTTTTCTTTCTTCTGTACAAACCACATTTTATTAACTGCTGTCTTCAGTACATGTATAAATGTACATATTCATTCTTGCTTGTTTGTCTTCAAAAGAAAACAGTCTAATGCTTTAAATATTGAGATTATTTAAAAGCAATACACAAATTACTTACAGATTATAATAGGAAAGTTAAGCAATAGTTTCTCTCTCTCTCTCGCAGTACATCATTCAAAAAGTTTCTACAACTAAATTGTCCTATGAGACACAATGGATAAAATGTTGATCAAGTAAATCAAGTTACTTAGCATTTGTAGGTTTAATCCCTGGGTCAAGTATTCCAAAAAGTATACTCTAGTTCAGTAGAAGAGACGTAATATAACAAAAAATTAATGAGGTAAAATTAACTGCTATGGAAGTATAGATTGTTCTCCTGCCAATGTCTTTTGACATAGGCCATTTTCCTGTAACTGTATATGTTCAGTTTTAAATTCCTACAATAGTCACTCAAAGTCTTAAGGGTACAAAAGCTGAAATATTGCGACTATAACAATCAGGTAGAAGAAATTACTTAATGCAAATCAGGGTGTAATAATCAAAACCTTTCTTAATGAAAATGACATAAAGCAGAGAAATTATAGATACAAATGTAGAGAAATTATAACAAACATTTCAAGATTGCAAAGAATCTGCTGTTAGCTCTGTATTTTGAGGTCTCTGTATTATGCAATTTACAAATTACTTAGAAGCATTCGGTTTTACAAAACAAAATTCCTTTCAATAAAAAAACAAATGAGTGACATTTTATAAAATTGCATAATTTAACCATAAGTGAATCATTTTCATATTTAATACTCTTTATTTTTAATACAGTTAAAATAATCTTTCTATAATTTTCATCTTGTAGATTGAAAACTTCAAATACAAAAAATTAAAAAAATCTGCTTTGATACATGCACACACAAAGACCACAATTTAAATTTCATGTGAAATAATATTGCAAATGGTTTTTAAAAATTTTCACATAAAATAGTTGAAAAGATTTTTTTTTTTTTTTCCAAAAATGAAAAAAAGAAATAAAAAAACATCTTCATACACTTAGGCATATATTGAAAACCCTCACTTTTATGTTTTTATTTTAAAATTAGCAGTGTATTGAAAAGCCTCATTGCATATCACAGCTTCTCCTTTTCTTGCTCATATTGTCATTTTTTGTCATTATCTTTCAGAAAACGACAAAATCCAAAAACACAATTCATAGTCACATTAGATGGTTTTGATGACACACATCTCTCAAAGACTTCTGTTCCATTCCCATCAGAAGCTGAAACCATAGAAACTACAAATCTTTCTGTTACATCCTCAAAGTCATTATCATCCAACATCAGTGATACAGCACGTGAAGGTATTTTTACCAACAATAAATGCTGAATTTAATCACAATACTTTGCAAGAAATACTTTTTATTTAAAGTCATTCTATTTAATGGTTGCTTCAAGTGACAAATCTAAGCAAATATGTGTTCTGAACCACTCTTTTATTACTTGTTGAAATTTTTTCTTACTTTTAATATATATATATATATATATATATATATATATATATATATATATATATATATATATATATATATATATATATATACACCTCATATATTAAGAAATGGACATGGTCCGCAATTTATTTATTAAAGACATTTTTTTATGTTTAACGTTGTTATTTATAGATACAAGTATTTAAGCAAATGCTCTGTTTATGATAAACAGTATTAAATAACATTTTGAATGTCGAGAAATTTTCATAGAAAATATTCGTTCTTTGTCCTGTCAAAGAACGAATATTTTCTATGAAAATTTCTCGGACATTCAGGCCGGTAAATGTTATTTAATACTGTTTATCATAAACAGAGCATTTGCTTAAATACCTCATCCATTGTTTCTCTAATTTTAAACAATATTATGTGCTTGATTTTATAACTTTTTTTTTTTTAATAATACAAAGTTTTACTAGGTTAACATGTAACAAGCTGGATAATCTTGTGAAATTTACCAGTTTTGCTTTGAAATAGTAAAATAAAATACATTTAGATTATTTGCCAGTATGTTACATCTAACAAAAAGTGAATTTATATTAAACAGAAATATTTAATTGCTAACTAAAGTTGTGCTTAATTCACTGTATTGTGTGACAATATTTTGGTTGTTTTGCTGTTGTTTTTCTTTTCCTTCTCTTTGAGGTCACTCCATCATAATTTCCAGAGTTTGTTGGTCTAAACAGCACCAAATAAATTTTGTTAGATCATGTGGGTGTCTTTAACTTCTTTAACCTCTAACACTGTAAAGAGTTTTGTCTTGTCACTTGAGGACATAGACCACATCTATGGCAATAAGTCTTCCTCTTGGCATCCTTAGTGTTAGTGATAGCATCATGGATTATATTTTAGGGGAAAATTTTCAAGATATCTGCAGGTCTTTTTATAAATAAAGCTAGAGATATGTTTCACACCACCTCTGTAGGCAAGTCTGAATAACTGGCTTGGTAATACCCTAGGCACTATGACAGAGGACTTTATGAGCACCCTTTCCAAATTCTTTTACTTGGACAGACATAGTGATCAGCTCAAAAATCCAACAAAGATTCTACTTCCTCAATTAAAACTGCTCTCTGGTGTGTGTGTGGGGGGGGAGGAGTGTTACTTCAGTTATAAACAGTTCAATGCTCAAAAGCCCAACAGAACAAAATTATTTTTATCATAATTTTAATTAAAATAAACCTAAATTAAATCACCTTTTGTTTTATAAGCAAACAAAAGAAAATATTCCCACGAAAATGACTTCACCACAATTGTTTTATGCAAATGTCTTCATTTTATCTTGTTTAAGTGGGTAAAAATTAGGTACCTCCACTTTTTCCGGCAAAATTTCCGATACCTAACTTTAAAATAAATTTTTAAAAATGAAAAAACATGCTTGAAGATTTCATTTTAGCTTTAATTGAAAGTTTAATCATTAAATTTATTATTTCCATTAAGGAAACAATTCTGGTGTATTTCAGATAGAAACTATATACATTGGAATGTCAAATTTAATTTTGGAATTTTAAATTTTCGTAATTCCGCCATTTTCTTAATTTTAAGAAATTTGTAAACAAACACAAATTTATCGATTTAAAAAAATTTTTTAAAAGTTTCTGACACGGTATTTTAGTAAAATTAGAAAATTTAATGTTAAATTAATCTGATTTAAAAGAAATATTACTTACTTCTAGTATAAAAAAGTAATATACAACCAATTATTAACGATTGGTACTGTTATTTTTATCCAATACTTGATCTACGTGTTGATTGACGAGTGATGACAGCTACTACGGATGACCATAAATGAAAATTATTAGAAATCTGAGTAAACGCTTTTTTTTTTTTTTTTTTTTTAGCTTTAGTGAAAGGGACAAAACTATTTTTATAATAATGGCAATTTCAGTCTACTGTACATGGAAATACGGAACGTATTAAGTAAAAAAATACAACATAAAAAATTATATGAAAAAAAATTAGCACCACTAAGTTTATTATACTTTGCAATTTTGAACTCGTAAATTTTGTTTCTACTTAATTACTAATTATCACAAGGAAATAGGCTAATACAGAATTTTGCACGATTTTTAAACTATTATAAATTATTATAATTAAAATGTAAAACAAATGAAAAAATTCTTGTAAAATTTAATTATTCATCAGAAAAAATTTATTTCTTCAGGCAATAATGACCTTAATATTACTTATTTACAGAAGCAATTAAAAGCTTTTCTAATTAAGTAATATCATAGATTTATTGGATTCATTATTTTTCAATTCAGAGCAGATTTTTAGTTAATTAGCACAAATTTGAAAAAAAAGAGTAGGTGATTTACCATCTCTAATGACTCTTACTTTAACAAAAAAAAAATTGTCAGGAAATAAAAAGGTTTTGAACAAAATTTCAGGAAAATAAGTGGGGTGTAACATATTTAAAAAAAAATATTTTTTACCAAAATTTTCTAGGAAGAAATATTTCAAAAATAATTTCATTCATTTGTGAATAAGTCCTGAAAATTTCATTAAAATCGGACAATTACTTGATTTTTACAAGAATTTCCAAATCAATGTGTTTTCAACGGAAAAAAAGCGCAAAAAAAAACAATGTTATTTTAACAGCACCGCGATGACGTAAACAAAAGAAGATTTTAACCAAAATTTTGAACGTGTTAGAAAATAATTAAAAAATACTTTGGTCTTTCATCTTAATATAACATAAGCATTTTGACGATAAAACTTGAATTACGTTAAGTTTGTGGCATTTTTGATACGCTATGCCGTTTCCCGCGAAAAAGTGGAGGTGCCTAGTAAAAATGTTGTTAATTTTTATTAGGCACATTTTTACTTTTAGGCTGTATATTTTTCAATGAATTTTATATTGAAGAAATAGTCAATTTTGAATGATAGTCACAAGTATTTTCCCTGATTACTCTGCTGATATAATTTTTATACATCTTAAATATTCTTAACTGTCTCCCAAAAATACTATTTTTTTAATAGTGCTCACCAATTTATTCAAACATTTATTTTTACAGATGAAGAAATAGTTAAAAAGAAAAAAGTAACTACTGAAAAAATTTCTGAAAACTGCAAATTTTGGCCCTCATGCCAGAATGGTGCCAACTGTAAATACCAACATCCAAGTGTTACATGCAGGTAAGTTAGAAAAAAATTATTTTTCCTTCATTCCTTCACCTGCTTATTTGTTTGATGTCTATTGTTCATGTAGTATCCTGATGTCAGTTTGAATAACTGAGGGCAACATAAAAAAAAGTTAATTTTTTTAAACATTAAAAAAAAATCTGAATTATAAGATTTTATTGAACTTTTCAAAAATTATTCAGTAATAAATAAAATTATTTTTTTTATTTTTTAATTTTGGTGAAATAATTTTAGGTTTGTTATTGAATTAAAATATAAATGTGCAGATGCAAACACACACAATTTGAATTGATGTGTGTTGTGCAGACTAATTTCTCTTTATGTCTGGCAACATCTGAGTAATGGTAAAAGAGCACTTTGAAGTCATTTTTATGATTCTTTCTGTACTTAAACTGAATATATTTTCCAATACATGTAATATTTTAAATGGACAATTTTGATTTGAAATTTGCTCATCTTACCATTAGAAACTATTTTAATTGTTCATATTATACAGTCATTTTATTTTGTGCTATTTATTTTAACCTCTTTAAATAAATGATAAATCATATTGTATCTGTTTAAAATCAGATATAATGTTAAGTATTTGTGAGATTTTGTTTTAATAGAATAAATTCCTTTCTATCTTTCACTTATCACCTTTTTAGAAAATCACATTGCATAAAGTGAAATTTGTTCTTTACTCTTTTGTTTAAATCACTATTTGACAATGTATCAATGAAGAAATAATTTTTCTTTGGCCTAGGAGAACCGTTAGGACTCAAGACATTTAACTTTTGTAAAAGTAAATAAAAATATATTCAAAATGGAAATTTCCAGCAATAATGTCACTACTAGAGCCTTTATTAAATATCAGAGAAATTCAATAGCTATATTAAATTTATTAGATTCATACTCAATTACAATCAAAATTTGTGTTGGGGTTAAATTATTTACAATCAATATCTCCTTATAAATGAAAGTATTTTATTTTAATCATGGTTTTCCCAAAACTTTGCTTCAAGGATTTTCTCTATTAACAATATAGGAAAGGCCAATCTAGTCCAAGGGAAAAAAATAATTTTGTTTTAAAACTTTAAACAAAAAGCAAACCAAAAAGTCATATTATAATTCTTTATTTTAATCTTCTCTCCATTACTTAAAACTGACCATGCTGTCTACTTTATATTTTTTTTTATTGCTTACACTCAATCTTCAATATTGTTTTCTGTTGGAACCAGCTCTACCCAGCCTGCAAGTTGGTAAACAGCTATGGCATTATATATGGGCTCATTTAAGATACTTGTTTTATGTCCACTGTCTCCCCCATAATGTAAAATTAATTTTAATGAACTTCCACAAATTGGCTTCTTGTAAGATGATATGGGATTTTTATGTTAAAGTTTTAATCCCCAGTTTACATTGTGATAACAGAAACCTTCTGAGCTAGGCATAAAAAGTATGCCATTACTCCTGTAAATAACATTTCATATTATTTAAATTTAGACATCATTACCTTTTGAAATATTCCTCTTGTGAATGTACAAAGCAATCCCATCACCTCTTCCTGAATACTTTCAATAGTAATTATGACTACAACTTTCATCACATGTGATAATTTAAAAAATGATAGTCAGGTTAGCATTAGCCTTCTCACAAATCTCAAGGCACACATTGAGTTAATGCTTTTGAGAGACTGTCAAGACACTGGGATAATCTTTGCTGCAATGGTATACATATTCAAGTTTTCCTTGAACATGTTTTTCAAGTTTTTCTGGCAGACTATAACTGATTCCAGTCATGTGGCAGATTTGATGAATTGCATGGCAACAGCGATCATGGAGGAGTTAACACATTTTTTCTGGCCTTTTGATGATAATTGCTTGTTCTGACAGCTTATCATTGGCAATCAACTCTTGACCAGTCTGAAAATATGTATACTATTCAAAAACCTGTGTTTGGCCTAGAGAATGTTTGCCAAAAGCCTAACAAAGATTATTGTGAAAGCTACTAACAGATTTTTCAAATTACAATCGCAGCATGAACAGTATGAGAATTTTCCAATATCATCCTGTAAACTAATTTTAATATATTTTTATCTATTATTCCTTTATTTCTTGGAAATGCATTGTTTGCTTACATTTTCTTACATTCTGACTTGCAATATTTGAATTATTATTTTTACAGCAAATTTCCTAACTGTAAATTTGGTGATAAGTGTGCATATCTGCATCCAAAGTGTAAATTTGACACAAAGTGTAATCGGTTTGACTGTCCATTTAGTCACAGTCTTTCAAAGTCAACATTACCACCGCCTCCACTAATTCTACCATCACCACCTCCTACAGCACCAACAACTGGTAAGTAATTCTTCAAGGTTTTCTTTTCATTTAATATATTAGTTTCCTTGTTTAGTAATATTTGATGGACTTACTAATCTAAAGTACAAAAACAAAATTGGTTGAAGCTTCATTTTAAACATTGTATGAAACATTGGCTACATCTGTTTAAATTTGAATAATTTCAAAAATTAAACACTCTAAATATTTTGTCTAATCAATATTCTTAATTTTTAGAATTCCCTTAAAATATTGTTTATCTTGTAATCTTCACTTTTCATAAGTGAAATATCTTGATTCAGTTCTCAATATATGATTTGAAAATTGCTTTAAATTTTTCTTTCTTTTTTTTCTTTTTTACTACAATTTTAATTTTTCAGGAGATAAAAATGTTTTTTTTTTTTTTCTCATAATTTTTAATCAAATACCATTGACATTTACAGCAATTTTGGATAATGATTTTTTTGTTTAGATATAGGTTTAAACACCAATTGTTAATGTTTTATTGACATTTGTTATTGCATTTAATATTTATGAGCAATGTATGTTCATATCTATTAATGTCATTTGTTCAAAATTGCTTATTTGAAATCTTCTATTTTTGTAACATCCATAATTGATTCTTAGCATTTTAATGCTTTTCATTCTGTAAACTCTCATGGCAACATTTTCACCTTTTGTCTCAGTTCCTGTAATACCCACTGCAATCCCTGTTGTGCGTTATCGTCCCCCATGTAAATTCTTCCCTACCTGTAAAAACATGAGCTGTCCTTTCAGTCACCCAAAGGTAAGTAAATCTATAATTCACTCCTAATTATTTTTTCTTCAGTAAAATATATATATATATATATATATATATATATATAACTACCATGTTTAAATTTACTGTAGTGTTAGAAAGTTTGTTACTGAAAAAACAGACTAAATTTATTAGGTCTCTGCAAAAATTTAGTTTTAAAAAAGTGCTTGTAATCTTTACACACACCTAATATTTTTGTAATTTCTGTAAAAATCATGTGAATGTCTGATCATTGACTCATTTGTGTTATAAATATAAGTGCGATATGATATTAAATAATTTGTAAATGAAATATTTTGAAAATAATTTTTTTTCACAATATCTTTTCACTGAAAGTTTACCTTTTATTTTGCAGCCTTGTCGGTTTGGTATTAGCTGTACAAAAAAGCCTTTCTGTACATTTTATCATCCACCATTACCAAAGCAGAACCAATTACGATGGAAAGCTGATAAATCTCTTACGTCTGAGTAAGGATTATATTGCATACTTCTTAAAATAACCCACTTCTATTTTCAAACAATTCTGTAGATTTGATCTGAAATATGTCTTTAAGCATTCAGCAACCTAAAATTATCCATGTATACACACATTTACTTTTCATCTCAAAACCTGTTCTATCTTACAAAATGCCAGCTAAGCTTTTATTTGTATTCATTCATTTTTTTCTTTTTTGCTGGCTGTTTCCTTTACAAATTGATGTCCAGATTTTGAAAGCAAAATGCAATCCTACTCAAAAAGTCAACAGGTTTATTTCTTTTCATTTGTTTATTCCAACTCCAAAAAATTATATGAAAAAAATAGTATAATAAAATTGGAAGTGTCTGAAGAAATTATTCAATTTGTCATATCATTTTTCTGAACATTTACTTTTTAAAAATAAGATTTTTTTTTTTAATTCCATACCGCAATTGTTTTGTCATTATCCTTTCAATTTTTTATCTTATTGTAAAATAGCAAAGCTACCAAACATTACAAAGCTTTGATTTGGTTAATTTTGTCATACTATGTTTAATTTAGTAGATAAAATTAGAAAAGATAAGAGATTTGTTTGCTATTTTAACTTTTCAATACTAAATTCTTTTTTTCATGATCTTTCAGTTCTAATTAGCATATAAAATCATTTTCAAGAAGAATTTAAAATCTTAAAATATACATTGGGAATAAGAAATACTTCGTAAAAATTAAAAACTTTTGTACTTTTAATATGAGACAAAAATGATTTATTACTATAATATATAGTAACATATATAATTTATATTATAAACTAGGACAAATTGTTTATTTATACAAGAGTTATTAGGTGTGAGCTGGTGTATCAATTGGTTAACCCTATTTACATTTATCTCATTCTAATTCTTTTAAGGAAACATGAATCCACTTCTCACAGCACTGTCCCATACACCAGATATCAACTCAAAATGTCTCATTTGTCTGATAATAAAAAAGGGTGACTGAATGAGTATCTGGGTAAACCACTCTACCATAATTTCTATACCTACCCAGGCAGCAGCAACAAAAATATTCTCATAATCAAATATATAATTTCTAATGTTTGATCTCTATCTTTTTGACAGACATCTTTATATGTGGAGATACATGAGCAGATGGTGAAAGTTCGTATTTTGGGTAGCTATTTATCCAAAATATCTATAATTGTTTTAATGAACATTCAAAAATTATGATATTGGTATTATTTCTTATCACCAGCTACACAACTAGTCCTCTTCTATTTTATAATTTATATCCTGATTCAGGTTTTACTGTGAATTATTAAAAAAAAAAAAATAATAATAATAACTATTAAGAAAATATGAGCGAATACTGAAAAAATTCTCTGTCCAGCTCTCTTCCCAAACTCTGAACATCAGAAATTTTTAAATTGCTTCAGAGTCTGGCTGAGAACATTCCAAATCAAGAAACCTATGTAGAAGTTGAGATATTTACAGTGTAATTAATTTCATTTCAATCATTTGGAGCTAACATTTTCAAATTAAGATAACAGCATTAAATTTTAAGGAAGAATTGTTTTTAATTGTTTAGCTATTACAAGCAAAGTAATTTAAAATTCTTCATTTAACAGTCTTAGACAATGTTAATTTAAATTTGAGTATGTTTAAGAAACTATTTTTTTTTTCTTTTTTTTTTTTATACATGTTATTGACTAACTTTATATTCCTCTGAAAGTTGATTTGTGAAAAATTTTTTCTTAAATAATCTGTGTTTACATACATCTTTTATCTGTAGGTTCTACTTCAATTTTCAGTTGTTTTTTTTATATAATTTGCTTCTCACCACCCAAAACCTCATGATTTTATAACATATTATACTGTATATAAAGAGTAATGAATGTAGTATCATGAAACAAGCTGAATACTTGCAATGCTCTTTTTTTTCTTTTTTTTTTTTAGAGATGCTGCTAATCTTGCTGACCAAATGGAACTGAATCTTGAACAGTGGAATAATCCATACAAAGTTGTAAATACAGCCAATTCATAACAGAGGTAAGATTTATTTGAAATAACAAGGTTACTTAGCATTACTTACATTGATCTTACTATATGTTATAGTAAAACTGGTTTGGAGGGGGGACCACAAAACGTAAATGCTACATGATCATTATGATTGTAACATTGTTATTTCTAGCAGGTATTTTCACACTTGCCTCAGAAATAATAGTAAAATAGCAACTGAAAAAATATTTCTTTTTAAACAATATTTGTGTAAAGATTCTATTTCCAAAAATCAAATCTCTAAATGTTGTCTTTATATAATTTTACTATTAAGATTTAGAATGCAAGTAAACATTTACAAATCCTATATTATTAATTCAAAATAAGTTTTCAATATAAATATAGAAAAGCATTATTCTGTGTAAAAAAAAAAGTGTTTGTATGTCTGCCAACAAAAATTATACACTTCAATAAATACTTTGTTCAGTTTTTATAAAGAATTTGAAAATGGCAAGATAACTTTGGTGTATGAAAATTAATTTCCTGGCTACAATAAATTAAAATTGTTGATATTAAACTTGACTATCATTCTCCATTATTTTTGTAATCACAATTTCAAATTAGCATTTTGCCCATTTTTATTTTGCTAGATGTTCTTTTAACATATAAGAATGAAATGGAATGTGCGTTAATGATGACATTCACACAAATTGTCTAAAATTACAAGAAAATGATTTTTTATGAGAATCTTTAGATGCACATACAATGAATTTTGTATATTAAATATAGATCCTAGTGTAAAGAATTGGAAAACAGCTTGATCTATTAAACTATGAATTAGATAATTAAATTTATCAATAAATGAAATTTGCTTATTTCAGTAACGAATATTTTAATGTTTTCCAGAAGCTTCAAATTTAAAAGAAAATGGTTTCTTAAAATAGTTTTTGATTTGGTTCATAATTTCTTTATTAGAAGCAAGAATTTTATACCAATAAATACCTGCTATGATTTGTATAAATAGATCAGACATGTCAAAAGTTAACTTTGTATTGAGTTTTCTTTGTTTAACTGTTAACATTTTTACATTTTCTAATTATTTTTATTGTTCCATCTTGCATATTTTTTTTTCTGATTTAACTTTTTCTCATTTATTTCAGAATCACAACACATCCAATGAAAACATAATCTGATTAAATTAAACATTTTTAGGGAAATATTTACTAAATATGGCATTTTTGTTAGCAATGACATTGACAGTATTTGAAGATCATTGAAAAAAAAAACATCTCTTATATCATGAATAAAGCCCATCAACCAGAACTTTTTATCTATTTATAATCCCCATATATTTCAAAATGGAAAAGAAAATGAGATCTAATTAGAACTTGCCTAACATTTGTTTTTATTAGGACATTTTGTTTTATTGTTTCCATTCTTTGGGTTTCTTGACCTGTTTTCAGATAGATAAGTAATTTTTATCTATTACTCCTTTTATATTAAATTCATTAAATAAACCAGGAATGTGGGTTTGGCTTTATCAAAGGAAACCCTTAATTTGGGCATTTTTTTTAACATACAATATTTTTATTAATAATTTAAAGACTGACAATAATCTATCTACTTAATTTAAGCCAATCTAAAAAAAAAAATTAAAATTCCTTACTGTTGTTGGTGCTACAAAATACTTGAATCTGATATTTCTTGAATCAAAAATCATATAAATAAAACAACTAAACTTTTTTTAGAGATTGGTTTACATTTTTAGTTTCTAATTTTGAAAGTCAAGGAAAATCTTGTATTGATTCACATTGTAAACTCATGTTTAAAATTAACAATTTGAACAACATATACATCTCTGAAATATGATTTGGAGATAATCTGAATTACATGAAAATATCACTAAAATGTAAAGAGTTGCTAATATAAAGAATACAATGTGCATACACTGTTTCAAAACCTGAAATTACTTTTCAAGCTATTGTCAAATATTTCTGCTGGTTTTTAGTTCTCAGGTCAGTAAATATAATATAAATATGTAAATATATGATAAATATTAGTTTCGAAGATCCTTGCCATACTTTTTATTGATTCGTTTAAAGAAAATACAACTGTGATATACTATCTTTTAAAAAAAAATCTTATAAGATATTAAGATGTTTCTTTGATATTATATAATGCAAGTATTAACTGTTTGGTTTTTATAAAAATATTTTACATTAAAGTATTAAAATACTGTTTGCCCTAAAAATGACTAACACACCCTCACTTAAAAAAATAAAATCCCCAAAATGTCACATATCACAACTTCTCCATTTTTTTTCTCTTGCAATATTAAATTCCTTTAATGAATTAAGATAATATTAGTACTTCATTTATAAAACACTTGCCTCCATCCAATTGACAAAATTTCTGTAAATTGTCAACAAATGAATTCTATTCTGACAAAAATAAAAGTAACTCAAATTTACAGGGTTTCCTTTGTTATGATTTCCTGAATATCAAAAAATTAATAAAATTTCTTGATTCTGTTTCTTATAGAAAATCAGACAGTAATTATCTCTCTAAGTTTCATTTTAGAAGTTAAATATTCAATTTTTTAAATTATGCAGCAAAAAAAGTAATATTTTTATCTCTACTTCATGGAAATAAAACCAAGGAAAGGATTTTAAATATGGATGAATATTTACAAGAATAATTTCAGTAGAAAGGAATTTTCATAATGTTTGAAAAAGAAATTTTTGAAACTTTTGTACAAACTACGGATGCTGTAATGATAACAACAACAATAATTCTTAAAATCAAATGCCTAATAACATGAAAATTGTGTTCACTTATTCACACACACACACACACACACACATTGTAATTATAAAAGAGTATTAACACCTATAAAAATCAGAGTTATCCACAAATTTTGATAATAAAATCATTGGAGTTGAATTTTTTGTTGCACTCCATTTTTATTTATTTAACAAGATCTTTTACATCTAAAAGAGTTATTTACATTTTAAGGACCAATCTCAACTTTATTAGTCTAATATTTCCTTTTCTATTTGTTACATATATAGCAGGGGGGGGGGGTGAACAAATATTCATACACATACAAATTTTTAATTTATTGTATTTCCAATAAGCATACTTTTCATATAATTAACTGTACACAGATGCATAACAACTGAATTACATTTCACCTAATAAAATGGATGAATGACATTTATTTCTATTGAATCAAATTTTTTTTCTGTTTTCTATGTATATCTAGTTATTATGCATCTGTGTAGTTAATTATATGAAAAATCTGTTTATTCATTAGTTGGAAATACAATAAATTAAAAATTTGTATGTGTACAAATGTTTCCCCCCTCAGTGTGTGTGTGTGTGTATATATATATATATATATAGAGAGAGAGAGAGAATACATGACATTGCAAAGCCAGATTCAAAATTATAGCAGGCATTGTAATACAAAAAGAAATAACTCACATAAAATATCTTTTTCTACAGGATATTCTATATTGAAATATGTATAATATTTAATATGCATACAAAAAATAACATAAATAATCAATACATGCTTTTCTGTTTAGCAGTTACATATGAGGTCACTGAATTATTTCCAACTCCAACAATCTAAAAAAAAAAAGAAAAACACGGATGTAGTCAACAAAATCTTGTTTATCATACTAATAATGACTGAGTCGGAAGTACTTGAGCAAAACAGAAAAAGGATACACAAACTTTGAACAGTTTATTTATATTAACATCTTAACTGGAAAATATAATAAAAATTCAAATAGGCAAATCTTGTCTGATGAATTTAAAAAACTTGTTTGTATGAATTCATGCTGCCTAAGTACCATATATATGTTGGACTCTCCCATTGTATTTGATATATGAGAGTCAAGCAGCTCTGTTCCTAAGAACCAACAGCCCAGACACCAGCACACATGATTTGATTATAGTGGTGAAGGCTTTGTGCAGAATCAACCACACTTTTTGAATATATATATATATATATATATATATATTAAGACATTTTTATGTTTAACATTCTTTTTATAGATACAAATATTTAAGTAAATGCTCTGTTTATAATAAACGGTATTGAATAACATTTACCAGCTTGAATGTCCAAGAAATTTTCATAGAAAATATTCGTCCTCCGAAAATTTCTTGGACATTCAGGACGGTAAATGTTATTTAATACTATTTATTATAAACAGAGCATTTACTTAAATATTTGTATGAATAAAAAGAATGTTAAACATAAAAATGTCTTAAAATAAATGTCGGACTTTGTCCATTTCATTATATATATATATATATATATATATATATATATTGAAATAATGAGGTTTGTAAAGAGCTTGTTTTTCTTATTTTATAGAAAACAATAAAATTGAATATAACAACTCAACATTTACAAAAAAAAATTTTTTTCTGATGAATTTGTTCCTATATCTATTGGTTGCATTCTGTTTTATAAAATTCTCTAGATTTTCCTTTTAAGCTGCTTAAATTTGTAAACTTGGTTAATGTGTAAAGTTAAAGTGAATTTTTTTTTTCTACCAGAGAAACAGTTATTGCTACTGACTACTGTAAAATGAAAAAAACTACAATATTATATGAATTACTTACAATTAATTTTGAATATTCATAATTTTTGCCTTCTAATATTTCCAATTTTTTTTTTATTCTTTTCAAATTAAGAAAGAAAATTAAATAGTTTTATTTTTCTTTTACCATATTTCCTTCCTTTCTTCCATTATCTTTATTCTTCTTTGCAAGTATCTACTATACAAACAAAATTGTATGTCCATCCACTTTTAATTTCAAAATTATTTTTCTATATTGCTAGGTAACCTTGGCACATTTGGGAAGGATATTAGCATAATCCAGAGCCTATACTGGCAGCAAACTGCCTGTATATGCATGGAAAATGAATTCAGTAAATATACCAAAATAGAAATGAATATAAGACAAGGATGTGTCTTCTCGCCTTTTTCAACTTATACAGTGATCGATTGTGAGAGAATTAGAAAT